AGGCCTTATACTACACCATACTGTTTTTCAGCTCTCCAGTTCCTAAAACAAAATAGATGCTCAGAAAATGGAACATAATAAATATAATGTTAAAATGTGATGTTGATTTTCTGCTTTATCCATTAGGGCACCAGTGTCTTGTCACCTGGACTTCACATAGGAATAATTATTATACTGGCAGTAATGATCTATAAAAAGTCAGCAACTAATGTGTTTGAAAAGCATCCTTGTCTCTATACCCTAATGTTTGGATGTGTCTTTGCTAAAGTATCACAAAAATTGGTGGTAAGAAATTATTTAATGATTCACAGTATCAATAACTTACATGGTCCTCAAACACAGAGCTGGAAACTATTTCATGCAATGGGTAGTTTTTTTGTGGTGTTACCATCACTATATGTAGTTACCTATTTGTACTCCAAGTAAAATTTATGATGAGTTAATGTTATGTTCAGGGAGATTCTTTACTATGTAGTAAGTTAATTATTTAACTATAACAAATAGAACTTTCTGATATTAATACATTTAAATATTGGAAACTTTAATAAGCTATCCATTATTCAGTCATGAATTTTGGAAGTTTTAGATTCAGTATTTCATATCAAATATGAGATTAAATGCTCTCTTTATCCTTATTTGTCTTAATAGTGAGTTATAGTCAATTCTGTTCTGAAATTAAAAGCTAAAATGTTGAAAATTTAATAGTGAAATTATTTTGTTGATTTTTTTGTAGATAGCCCACATGACTAAAAGTGAACTGTATCTTCAAGACACTGTCTTTTTTGGCCCAGGTCTTTTATTTTTAGACCAGTACTTTAATAATTTTGTAGATGAATATGTCATTCTATGGATAGCAATGGTAAGTTCTTTTCTATTAAGATTTTATTTTTAACAGATGTCAGATAACACTATGCTTGAGTCATTTCAGTGAAATATCAGGTAGTCTCACTATTAGTCTATACAGTAAATGTTTCTGTAAAACTACTTCTTTTAAGCTGTAAATTTGCTTTTTTTATTGAGTACAGAAATGGTCTACATATCTGGCTTCCACCAACCTCAGTCCTTAAAAATATAACTGTGAGTTTTCCAAGTAATGATAGGGATATTTTCTCCTCATTCCGACTCCAGCAGTGGAGCTGAGAGGCTTCTTTTTCTAAAAGGAAGCATTTACCCCTGGTCTCTGAGGAAGTTTTTAAATAGTGTGCTTTCCTCAGTTTTTTCTACAACAAAATTTTGTGTATACCTCCCATCAACTGTTATCTTTTCCAGGCATTTTTTTCTTTTCATCCTGCAGAACTTTGAGGGATCCACACAAGGGACATCTACTTCACTTCCATAGGCCTTTGCTTTCCTACTACTAATCTCAAAGGAGTAAGAAATGTATATGATGGATTTTATTATATCTGGTAGTCCTTTCTAGTAGAAATGTGTGGCTTTGTTGCGCAGCAAAGAATTGAAAGAATGTGGAGTCAAGACTTTTCTGTTACTCTCCAGGTTTTGTTAAAGTCTAGGCTTTTACTGCTGTGCTCAGATTCTATAACTATGAAATACCCTGCATGTTGCAGATGACTATATGAGGTCCAAATGAGAAATACTGTATTTTGCCATGTATAATGCATTATTATACTCCATGGTAGGTAATCATCATACTCATGTATAATGAGCATCCTTATTTTTCCGTCAAAAATTTGGGCAAAAATTGTGCATTATACATGGCAAAATACAGTATATAAAAGTACTCTAAAGTATAAAATTTTCAATGAAGAATTTTCAGTTAATGTTTGAGATGCAGGTAGTGGTGGAAGGCAGGAGGGATAGCTGTTGCTTCAGAAAAGATAGACCATAATCCATTTTACATTTTCTTTTTGCTTCTAAAGGTCATTTCTTCATTTGATATGATGATGTACTTTAGTGCTTTGTGCCTGCAAATTTCAAGACACCTTCATCTAAATATCTTCAAGACTTCATGTCATCAAGCACCTGAACAGGTTCACAAGCATATTGACTAATAGTCCAAGGAAAAGAGGAGAAGCAGTTAGGGGAACCTAGGAGTGAAGGAAATCCCCTTTTGCAGGTGGCTAGTATACTATCAAATAAGGTTATATTTGAATATGAACCATTAGCTCCTATAGGTTCCATTATGTCTGTCTTAGCTGTGAAGTCCTCATTGTGTATCAACATTTTTAACTACAAATATTATCAGAGTAATATAATCTATAAGTTAGAAACAAAACCAAAGAAAGAAATTTCAATTTTCTGGGGATAAGAATGTACACCACAGTAGTTCTAAATAGCAGTCTTTTTGTCTTAGAAATCCTTAGACACTCAGAATTTTCATTGCCAAACTACATAAAAATTCAAGACTTAAAGAATTTTTAGCCAAATTGAAGATGATGCTTTTATTGCAAAAAGGCAATGAGTTCATAACACTATTTAAGTGCATGGATTATAATATTCTAGTTAAAGTTGAATGATGACATATGAATTTTTTATTAGCCATTTTCAAAAGAGGTAATGTTAACTGCTATTGTACTAAAGGAAATACCTGCTTAATATATCAACCAGAATTGAAAAGGGCTACTGTAATTTTCTATCATTTGTGTTAAAAGCAATCTACTAGTTCAGAAAAACGAATCTTTATAGTGAGAGTAACTTGTTTCTTGATATTCTGAATTAAAATTTCATTGTCACAAAAAGGTGGACATTAGACATCCCCTTTTATGAAAAAACGCAGCATTTAAAGCACAATTGACATAGGAAAATTAGTAATTTATAAAAACATGGCAAAAATATCTTCTCTTTATAATATCAGCCAAAGTTACAACTATACATTTGAGGTAAAAAGGGGATAAAATGAGTATCAGTTATTTAACTACTAAGTACATTATGTACTGATTCTTACCTTCCACTCTTATAGTGTTCATTATGAATAACAGAACTATCACAAAGCTCTTTGGTGATACCAATGTTCAGACTCCCCTTTTACCCTATTTTTAATTTTATCCAGCAATTCTGTAGACCGTGGCCATATGATGAAATAATTTTTTAGAAAAAGAGTAATGAATATGTTAACTATATCTTAAGCAAGAAAAAGACAATGAAAAAAGTGGAAGTTGATATTACTTGAAAGGAAAAATATTTATGTGCATTAAGGACACAGAACAGTCCAGGGTACTTATTTGGACTACTTTACAATTGGTAAACTCAAATAAGGACATTCTTAGAAATCTATTCCAACATGTACTTTGCTTTAAAAGGAAACTCCTTTACAAAATGCAAAAATTTAGGAAGTAAACTGTCCCCCTAATGTCAGGTGTTTGTTAATGGTGAAGGACTAATTTCTTCCTGTGTGAGTTATCATAGTTAGAAAAGGAGAATCAGTATGGGTTTGTTTTAAAAACTTTGAAAACCTCAAAACTAAGGTTAAGAATGGGTTATGGGGAAAAAACTAGAATTGAAAACATGGGAAAACAGAAAAATCACTCCTAATGGGCATTTTTTTTGAGGGGGGCACATTTCTTGTTTTGAATGCTTCAATGAAAGCAATTTGAGAAAAAAATTGTAAGTTTAACTGACTTATTTAAAACACTGAAATAATTCTTTCATTATTAAATCAAGTGTTTCATGTTTTATGTTTTTAAAATATACATTTTAAAAGACAAGGTATAAGAATTAACTATTAAATCTGGAAATGAATATAAAATCAAAAAGAATCTAAAATTGAATAATAGTTCTATTATTTACTCTAAATTGAAACTGAAAACATTGTAGGTCATTTATCTTTGAAGACAGATGTGAAATACTTAATTCATAAGCAATTAGGCATGTTAATGATATGCTTTTAAATCATTACCACAAGCACGTGCCATTTAATTTCAGACTAGCTCAATTAAATGTCCTTTTGATGTCTGTGGAAATGACATTAAAAAATCTATTTTATTTTGAAGAATTTTTTATTTTTATTTTTTTATTGTTAAGAGTTTTTTCCATTTCCCCCACCAACCCATCCCCACGTCCCACCCTCTATCCTACCCGCCTTTGGCTTTGTCCATGTCTCTTTTATGTATGTTCCTTGACAACTATCCCCCTCTAGTTAGAGAGAGAGAGAGGAAGACAGAGGAGAGAGATGTTGATTTGTTGTTCCACTTATTTATGTATTCATTGGTTCCTTCTTGTTTGTGCCCTGACTGGAGATCAATCTTGGTGTATCTGGATGATGCTCTAACCAACCCAGCTACCCAGCCAGGGTGCATATCCGTATTTTAGAATGGCTATTTATTATCTTTTTTAGTTATCTTAATGGTGTTTAGCAGTTTTATTCCACAACAGTAACTCACTTTTTAATTAATTTCCTACATCAGATTTTCTTTTGAAATTCAATCATTAGAATTGGCTGTGCAACTTAATGACCTTATACAAGAAGATATATGTATAAAAATAGGTTTTATGCTTTTTTTCTTAAGGGACAACCATCCATATAACCTTCTATATTTGTGCTTTCTACCTTTTGGGACTGATACAGATACACTGAAGCCAAAGCTTGAAAGTAAATAATCTTTATTGCTAAGTTAATTGACAAGTGTTACAGAGAAAAATTCACTATTACTATTAAAAGGCAGAAAGGTTGGCACATACAGTTTAAGGGTTGCTGCTACTCACAAAACTGTTTAGATTTTATTTAGAGGTTAAGAGGAAGAGGAGGCTGGCACTTAAATTAATGATTAACACGATGTAATATTTGAACTAGAATTTTTAAACCACTCTAAGACTTATATGCCTCTTTGCTAATGTTATAATTATATCATATTACTTAGGTTCAAATTCTTCCTTCAAAGAGTCATCAGAATAACATGGATTGAAGAGACTTTCGAACATTTGCCATCTCCTGCTGCTGCTGTTCATGAAAGGAGATATTAAACATTTGTTTAATTTTTAGATAAGTGTTATACATATTTCAACAAATAAAATGTTTCAGTGCTTACATTATAATCCTTACTTTTTCAGTGTTTACTATCATAACTTACAGTGTCCATCATAATTTGTTTTTGCAACAAAGCCATTTCTTTTTTAAGTTCAATTTGTGCACCAGTAAGGAGAGTATCCTGATTCTTGTCCAAGTCACCCATGCTCTAAAACACAAAAGACTTGTTCAGTTACAAACCATCAGTTTTTATCTCAAGTTCTGAGCTTGTACAATTAATTTTCAAAAGTAGGAATATTTTAAAATTCAAATAGTATACCAATTTATTCCAAATAAAAATATTCTAAATAATACATCAAAATACCTACTAAAGAATTTTAAAATGTTAGACATGAATTAAATATTACTATAGGAGGTACAACAGTAGTGTACTTTGCTTGAAACAATGGGTTAATGAACTGTTAAGATTTCAGTATCTAACAGTTAAAAAAAAAAAGACTGGAAGTCCAAAATTAATAAATACCATAATTTTGAAATTTTCTAAAAATTCTTCTAAATATCAAGTTGTAACCCACTTATGACTAATGGTCAAATGTGATGAGAATTCATCAGGTATTAAATGACCTATAGTAAACCTTTCTTCAATTTATGAGAAAAATCATAATTTACTATTCATCCAATAAATAATATTCCTAATGCCTAGTGTATAAAAAGTACTATGTTAAGTGCTGTGGATAAATTTAAAAATAATAATATGTGACCCTTCCCTTGTTCCAGTGACAACAAACATGAATGAAAATGACACAAAATTTTATAATAGACATAGAAACACAACTTGCTGTGGCTATGTAGTAGAAAATGATGATTAATTCCAAGTTAGTTGGAAAAGGATTAAGTAAGATCAATAGATAAAGCAAAAAATTTCCTAGAGCAAGAGCATAAACAAAATCATGGAAGTATGCAGTAAGTCAGAGAAAGCAATTATGTGGAGGTGTGGGTGTAATGGTCAAATGTAGTAAATGAAGCATAAAAAGAGGGTTACATTATTAGGCGGGGAGAAATCTTGACTAAAGAATTTAGAATGAGAAACTACTGATAGTTTTTCAAGAGGGAAGAGAGATAATGTTTTAGGAAAATAATATGGCAGAATTATGAAGAATGTATCATAGAACAGAGAAATCAAGTGTTTTAATAGTATAAGCAAAGAATGAAAAAAATTTAAAAGACAACCGCTACAGAGGTAAAAATTATAGGACCTTCTAATAACTGGATGTGGAACAAATAAGGCAGATAGAAGAGTCAAATATACTAGAATTCCTATTTTGTTATTTTTAGTGCTGACATTTAGAGGAAATCTTTTCTAGTACTTTACCAATCAACAAATGGTTTTCAGGGAGTATTACAGCAAGGTGACTGGAAAAACTTTTTAACACAACTTGTGTTCACATAAATTATTGATAATTCTAAAAGCAAATATGCCATAAAGTATGTATATAACACATTTGAAATGAAAAGAAATATCAATTTCAATTGGGTACTTTCTACTGAACAAATGCTGTGGATACAAAGACAAGTAAAAGTCTATCTAGAAATGATTTATGAATTTTCTACTTTCAGTTGAATAGAGAATACTAGTGCTAACATTAAATACAACTTTTATGCATAATATGTACATTTTTAGGTAAAATTCCCAATTTACCATTTCCTATTTTGAATTATTCTGACAAAAACATTAGAATGTTAAAGTAGAATATAGTACTTTAAATAAACAATGAATCCAAAATGGAAAGTAGTTGAAATTTTTAAATGCATAAGCAAAATGTTTTTCCTTAAACTTAGAAAAAAATTATCTTCTACTTCCAACATAAATTGTTTTGTAAGAATATGTTAAATACAACTGACCTTTACGAACTGCTCATATAACTGTTTAACTGTGTTCAGTCTCTGGCTCTGAATAACTCTAGATTGTTGAAAAATCTTTTGTTGCTGTCGAAACAAATTCTACAAATGTAAAAGAAAAACTTGTGTGATATCAATTTGAGTATAATTTTAAATTTATCACAAAAACGTTTAAAGGTAATTTAAAAATCAATACTTTAAAAATTTTAACTATTATAGTAAAATTTAAATAATCTGTGTTCACCAAAAATATACAGCAATATATAATCCTACCAGTCATTAACTAGGAAATCTTAACAATACTCAAAACATGTCCTAATTCTTAGTGCTCTCAATATCAACAGAGATGATCCTTCTGATAATGCTGGTCTTTCACCAATGATTTTTAGCTGCCACCCTACTTCAGCCATTCCTTTACATATTCATACCCTAGATTTTGTCATTACCAATAACTACAACCTCTGTCTAGTATGAATAATAACAAAGTGCTCTGAATGGTTTTAAATAAACTTACTATATATGAACTCACTTAATCAAAGAGCATACAAACATGCTGCTCTTTGTCCATTCTTTTAAAAGACCAAATAAAAAGCACTATTCCTTTTCTACTCAGGCTACTACCCCATTTCTTTCCCATTCTTATACTCATTTCAGCTGGGTTTTTGCACTTATTATTTCACCAAAATCACTCTGGTTCAAGACTGATAGAACCATTCTGATCAACACCTCTGATCAATGACCTCCATCTTGCCAAATCTACCTTATTTGGTCTATAGGCAGCATATGAAAAAGTTAATCCTTTCTGCTTAAATGGCTTGCTTCATTTTGCTTGGACAGGTTTTCTTTCTATTAGGCCACTCCTTTTTGTCTTTAACTCTAAACATTCTAAGGGCCCAGTTCTTAGACTTCTCTTTTGTGTTTACAATCACTCCCTTGGTGGGTTTCCTTCAACTTAATATGTTTCTTATTTCTTTCCTGAAATCTAGACTCATACCAGTGGCTTACTCAATGTCTCCCCTTGTTATATTTAAATTAAACATTTGCATAACTGGGCTGGTCAACCAACACTTAAAATTATTTGCTAGGAATAGCACCTTAGCTCTTAGATAAGATGTGTGATAATTTCACAAACAATGTTAAGTATGGAATAAAAGGATAACGTAGTTATATATGTGGTGCTGACTTCCATCTCCCACTAAATAGGTAATGCAAGAGTAAATCATGTTCTGACCATAATGACTGATTCAATAATGGGCAAACAATCCAAACTGATCAGTGATTTTCCTTCAGAGGCGTTTTCTGCTAGTTACTGCTAGAGTTACTTTTCTGCTAGAGTCCACCAAGGTTACTGAACTTGTCTGGGATTGCAACAACCTATCTTACTTACCACACTGAGACAGCCTAAGAACTGGAGACAGAGCCAAGATGATACCACATGAGCAATTGTTCCCCAACCCACCCAGATATGCCTGAAGCTAAATTAACCCTAGTCTTCTTTTATGTAAATGAATAATCCTTTTGTACTTTGGCAAATTTCTGTCATTTGGAACTAACAGAATCCCAATCAATATAGGAAGCAAACACCATCAGCTTGTATGAATATGGTTTGTGTCTATATGTCTGATTTACCATTCAGCAGGACCAAAACATACAGCCAGCAATGGGTAGTGGAACCTGAGTTCTGTGGGTCCCCTACAAGACTAGGCTCTCCATCCTACTTGACACTTGGTTGAATAAAGTTAAGCATGATGATACATACAGCTAGTTTTTCTTCTTGTTCCTCAGCCTTCTGCACATCTATCTCCCACTGCTGAAACAAAGTCATACACTGCTGAGAAAATTCCTTACTAAGCTTCTGTCTGTAAAACATAATAAATATTATCATACTTGATATCATTATGGGAAAAACAGTCGAAACAAAATTGACTTACATAATTATGCTGTAATAAAGGCAATAAAAGCACTCAAATTTCAGATATGAAACTAGAAGTAAAATTACGATTCCAGACATATTTATTCTCCTAAACCTAACACAAAAACCCTCCCATATACTTTAGCTCTCGAAAAGTAAGGAAATTTTGTTGTATATATGAATTTTCCAGAAAACTCCATTTTACTGCCAGTTTGTCATTTTCTCCTACTTGCACATAGGTTTGATATGATAAATTCAATGAAACCATTATATTTATCATATCAGATGTTTCCAAATAGACATTCTACTTAGTTTTTGCCTATTTTGGTACAAAATGATTTTATGCCAAAGAATAGTTACTTCAGCTTAAATATACAAATCATTTACAATAAATATTAAGACTGATCTTTTTCCACACCGTTGAACAGCTGACATTTATTTTATTCAGCTAGTGTATTTCTATAACAAAGACAAATTAGAAAAAAAAATCTTAACTTTTATTTAAAAGGGGATAAAAATAATCTATTGATTTCTAGGAAATATATTTCAAGTCTATGAAGGAGTGAGTGTACTGGACTAAAAGACTTAGAGAAAAATCAAGCTAAATATATATTTTTACTGGAGACTCCAATAAACGGGTAACAGTATTTTTCATAATTTGCACTAATGAATAGTATTCAATGATAGAAATGTTATGGTTGTGAAAGAACCAATAATCATACCTGAGATCTTGTTGGGTTTTCCAAATATGTTCAATTTTCTGGCTACTGGTTTTGAGGGAAGCCTTGGTATACATTGCTAGTCTTTTTTTCTTTGCAAGAAGAGAACTGTTAATGTTAGCTATATGGAAAATAAAATATTCATTAAAATGCAGTATTGAAGAATTACATATTTTGTGCCCACATACTTAAATAAATATGGGTAAAACTGGTTTAACAATTTCAGAAAGACACTTAAAATTAAATTTAAAATAGGTATATCAAAAGCGAGGTTGTTTTTTTCTAAGAAAACTTTTAGTTATTAGTATCCCAGTTCTAGAGACTTTTTCCTAGCTAGAGACTTTTTAAAATTTATAGATGATTAAAAAGAGCCAATAAAAGGAAAAAAGAGTCTCAAGGATGGGCTTTACTTTCCTCCTAAGAAAACAACAAAGGCTAAATTTTTCTAAATTTATAAAATACTCCCCAACTGAAACAACACATTTAGATGAATTACTGTTAGAATTCAGTATATGAAACACACAAAAGTATTTTTTTAATCCAAAAAAGATAAAAAGTTTTAAGAAAATTATTTTTAAAAATATATTTGGTGGTAATTTTAAGCATATAATTTTGTAAATGAGACAGAGATTGAGCATAGAAGAATCTTAAGGAAATACCTAGATAAATTCATTCTATAACCTTTTTTGAATACTTTCATGGAGATTTTTATAGCAGATTTTTATCCCTAAGTACTGTATTTCATGAAACTTTAATACTTTAAGTAATGCCTTGCTAAACATGTACATATGGATCTACCATCAATGTTATTCTTCAATAATTATTATGGAGCTGCATTATTATATATCTTATATATCCAGTATCTATCAATAAGAATATATATATATATAAAATTACCAATCATTTTGCCACTACCCAATAGAGCAAAGCTTTCATAAAAGACTTGACTATGTGATGAATGTGCTGTATAGAGAAGTCAAATATTGTCTCTCTTTTGAGTATTATATCCCCAGTGCAGTTCATGTAATTGACATTTGACATACAATTTAAAGTTTATGAACTTCTTATCTCATTATACATTTATTACTATCTAGCAAGGCTGTTTTTAATTCTCAACTACATTGTTTAATGTAAAAATAACATTAAAGAGTTATTTTAAAGGCTTCAGTTTACACTGAAAAGAACTGCTACAGAATTTACACTGCTACAGAAAAAAACAAAGGAATGTCATACAAAATAACTAAATTGAGAAAAAGGAAAGCTGACATATATACAGGTATGTGTGTGTTTGCAGTCTGTAGAAAAGTCTACAAAAGACCATTCAAAGTATAGAGACTTTTCCCATCCATTTTGTCCTAAAATTCCAGTCCATTAAATTCACACATGTATAAAATAAAAGCACCACTCGAGTACTACTCACCATTGTTAGTACCATTTGCACTCTTCGCATCAATAACTGGAAAAGGTTAAGTAAGAAAATCTATGGAGCTAAATTACATAGCACACTTATGCAAAGTTGTATATATAAGAACAAGGCATTAAATGACAGTCTTGAATACACTGATTATTGTACAAGTTATTTGGCTTAAAATAATCTTCATTAAATACAAATGTCTCCTAAAACATACCTCCAATTTTTTCCAGCATAGTCTGTACTTCATCTCTGTGAACAAAGTACATTTAAAAACTTTTCATTAGAGAGCCATAAAATATCATGTTTGTTTTGGAAGAAATATCCCACACCCAGTATTTTACATGTAATATTCATTGGACAACCAAAGTACTTTCTTAAAGTGCTTTATCAGACAGAAACTATTTTGAGTGCATTACCCCGTATTTTCAAGTATTCCTGCAGAAGTCCTTTTCTTCCCAAGCTTATCAATTGCCGGAGTCTTTGCTGCATCAACAATAAAAAAATTTAAATGTTTTTAAAATTAAGTATGCTACTTTGGTCATTTCAGTATGTCTCTTAATTCTGAGGTCATTTAAGCTTTTTGCCACATGAGTTTTTAAAGCAGATACATAAATACAGTGCTTTCTCTGTAAATCCGGTGGAATTAAATCAAGATCCAGGACCATTTTATAGGAACAATTTTGCAAGTTTTCCTGTGTTAATGTCATGTACTATTTATTAGACATTTTGGGAATCATGACTGAAAATGCAAGTAGCTATATAAGCAACTCTAACTCCAGATGAGAAACATGAACTATATTAAAATGCTTGACAAAGTTTTACTATCATTTAAAATGCAGGAGATTCAAAGTAAACGAACTGAAGGGCACGGTCACGCCACAACATTAGATGTACTGTACCACGAGTAACATCCTCCTCTGGACCGCTCAGAGCTTTTCTATCTTCTTTCTCGAACTCAAAGGCTATTAGAAGCTGATCCTCCATTGATATCTTCCCAGATTTCCCGGTATGTTTTCTTCCAGAGGGCAACATATTTAGATGTTTCCTGACTTCAAAAAAATAAGTATTTCAAACCTTCTGAATCCAAAGTTATCATTTAAATAAACTGATAAACCTCAAAATTAGAAACATCAAAGATGATCTTAGTTGAACATTTAGGAATCTCCTCGTTTATTTTTATGGACCCAAAGTTAAGATAATGAGAGCATCCACCCCGCTTGCAGGTGTGCTGCTATGGAGAGTTCAGAGAAGACTGCGAGAACAGAATTTTATTCCAGCCCCTGCCAGACTCTGGCTAAATTTGGGCACACACAGTTTTTTCGCATCAGTCACAAAGTGAACCGGTTGAATGGATCGACCGTGAGGCTGCCTGTCAGACCCGGCTCAGCCCACAGCCTCGCGCCCGCCACTGCACCACGGCCCCCTGGCCCGCACCCCTCCCAGCCCCTCCGTGTACCCGGATGCTCGCTCGCACCCTCCTCCGACCGCATCTAACCCTCCACCCCGTCCACCCCTGGGCCCGGAAGCCCTGGTCGCCCTCTCACTGCCTCTCAGCCCGGGTGCGCCCCCCACGCGCACCGGTCCCCGCCCCTCGGGCCGAAGTCGTCCCTTCACTCGATCTGCTCCCGTCGCCCACGTGGCCGCCCAACCCCAGGCTCCCCGTCTCTGCCTTGCCCTGGTCTCCCCCTCAGCCCCGGGGCCCCGCGAACCCTCTACTCCCTCAAATTCTCTCGACCTTGGGGATTTCTTTGCCCCGGTCGTCTCCTCGTCCGTTCAAGTTACTTCGACTGCGGTCGCCCCCTCGGTCCCTCTTCCCGCTCGTCTCCTTTGCCCACCCCACCCCCCACCCCGCCCCGTCGTCTCCCTAGCACCTCAGCCCCGGTTGCCCCCTCCGCCGATGTACTTTCAAGGTACATCGGCCCGGTTGCCACGTTGACTCCCGGCTCCTCTTCCAGCTCAGACTCCCTCGGCCCCAATCATCCCCTCAGCCCCAGTCGCCCCCCGCCGCCCCCTCAGTCCCGGGGCTCCTTCGAGTTCTCTCAGCTTCGGTCTCCCGTGGGCCCCGGGAACCCTCTACCCACTCAAAGTGCCTCATCCTCGGTCTTCTCCTCGCCCCCGCTCGCCCCCGGGGCCCCTCAGCCCAGTTCGTCTTCTCGCCTCCGGCTGACTCATCGCCCGTTCAGGGTACCTCGGCCCCGGCAGCCTCCTTGCCCGCGGCCGCCCCGTCAGCCCTGGGCCCACTCTTTCCACTCAAGTTCCCTCAGCCCCGGACGCCCCCCTCGGCCCCGGTCCCGTCTTCGGCCTCTCGCCCGGTCAAGGTCCCTCGGCCCTAGTCGCCCCCTCGCACGTTCAAATTCCCTCGGCCCCGGTCAACCCCTTGGCCCTTCAGCCCCAGTGGCCTCCTCTTCTCCGGTCGCCTCATCAGCCCCGGGGCTCCTCTTCCCGGGGGCCGATTTCACCCCTCATGCCCCGTAGCCCCCTCAGCCTGGGCACCAGTCGCTCCCTAAGGCCTCCACGGTCACCTCCGCCGCCTCTTCTGCTCTCTCGGCCCTTGCGAGCTCAGGGCCCTGCCCTAATTTTCCTGTCAGAGGCCCCAGGTGAAGCCAACTAGAAAGTTTTACTCGCAGATCAAGAGTAAGCTTTGATTCGACTCCCACCCTGGACAAACTCCTACCCTTCTCACACCAGAAAGGACACCCAACAGCTAAGGCCCACAACTACAGGCCTCCGCCCAGCGTCCCCAGAACTCCGCTCTCCACAGCCCTCGCTCGTCACCAAAGCTCTCTCACTTCGTAGCTACGACGCTCCTCTGAAATAGCTCTGAATTCCCGCGCGAGAAAAGCCAGTCTCGCCTGCTCCAGAAGCGTCGCTGATTGGCTGGTCGCAGTGCGCAGGCGTGAAGTCGTCGCGAGGCTCTGCCCGCAATGGGTGAGGGATCCGGAGACGGAGACTCGGAGCACCTTCCTCGCTGTGGCCTATGGGTAATATTCTCGAGGCACGTTGCTTTCCGGGGTTTTTTTTTTTAATTTAAATTTTTAAATGTTATAATATTTGAAAGTCTCAAAAGCATATGTAAGTTATAAGATATGACTACACCACCTAATTACACTACACTACATAATTACACTACCTAATTTGTAAGTGAAATTTTACCAAAACCCAATGAACCCGCCTCGGGAAGTCTTTTCCATCACATTCCCCTATTTTCCATTCAGAGATATTTGAAAACATCATCCTGAATTTTGTGTAAATATTCACTCCTCCCATTTTCTAAGTTTCCTTACTACATGTATGTGTCCTTAAACAACCCTGCCTAGTTTTGTTTGTGTTTGGGCAGTACAGAAGATTCTACCATGTTCTATGTAGTATTCTGCCACTCACATTTTTGCTTAACATTATGTTACTGAAAATCTATATTATTACATGTGCTGTAGTTCTTTCATTTTCACTACTGTATATACAATTTTCCACGGTGACACTGCCAAAATTTATTCATTGGTTTTCTTGTCCGAGGACAGGTGGGTTATTTTAAGATTGCAGCCTGTATAAACAATGCTATTATAAATGTTCTAATCTCCTGCATATATGCTAAAGTTTTTACAGAGTATCCAGGTGTGAAATTGCTAAGTCATAGGTTAGATGATACTCAGTAATGCCAAGTTGGTTTTCAAATTATACTCTCATCACCATAGAGTGTCCCAATTGTTCAATATACTCATCATCACTTGGTATAATTAGATTTCTTAGTTTTGTCATTCTAGTGGGTGCAAAAAATATCTTTGGGATATTCTTTTTATATTTCTCTAGTCATAAGTTTAAGATCTTGTTATGCTTATTAGACATTTTTATTTTCTTTTCACTAAAATATCTATTTTTGTTTTTTGCTCATTTTTCCATTGAGTAGCATGTATCTCATTGATTTGTAGGTCTTTATATATGATGGATATTAACCTTTATGACTTCTGTATCCTTATCTTGAAGTCGTAAAAATATAAAGGTTTTTTCATTTTTAAGTATTTGTTCATTTAGAATTAATTTTTGTGCATGATGTGAGGAAGGATTTAATTGTTTTTTTTCCTATGTGGAAACCAATTTATTGAATAGTGCATGCTTTTCTTACAACATATGTCGTATGTCAAGTTTCTGTATGTTTTTGAGTCTGCTTCTCTAGCCTATTCCACTTATCATTTAGCCAGCCTATCCCTGTCCCAAAACCAGTTTTCACTGACTAATAAGGAAGTCTCACACAGTATTTTTTTTTATTCAGGAGTAGCCTGTTCATTCTTGAACTTTTGCTTTTCAAGTAAACTTCAGAATCAGTTTTCCAAGTTCAATGAAAGAAAATCTGCTAGATTTTTATTGGAATTACCTTGAATCTATAAATCAATTTGGAGAGAACTGAGTTTTCCTATTCTTGAATGTAGCACATTTTGCATTTATTTAAACATTAATATCATTCAATAAAGTTATGTTTTTTCTCTGTGCAGGGCTTGGGTTTTTATTAAATTTATTTATAAATACATTTTATTGCTATTTTGTTCTAATTGCTGCTGATATATAAAAATCCAGTTGATTTCTAATATGGATCTTGTTCTTATATCCAGCAACTTGCTAAACACTTTAATTACTTTTAATAATTTGGTTGAGTCTGCTATACTATTTCCTCAATATCAAACATATGCATGCCTACCAGTGCCACACACATTTAACAACAAAGAAAATATAGGTTTTAATCATAAACATTATAATGTGAATTTTTGAAAGGGAAATATAACAGTTCTTTAATATATAAGACTTACTTAGACTATGCAAAATGTCACAGGCATTCTGAGTCTTTAAGGAAACATTTCTCAAAAAGGATCTAAGAAATCAACAACTATTTAATCAAACGGAAAACTGCTTGTGTAGACTGGTTTAGGACCCTGTGGAAGTCAGTGCTGTCAAAGTCTTGGGGCTAATCTCTCACATGTTGTCCCATGTAATTTTTCTTATAATTGGGAAATGATATTGATTATATTAAAAATACAGTGAGGTGACCCTTTGCACATCAAACTTTTGTTTGTTCTCAACTTCCAAACACTCCTTTAACCAGGCGGCTCCTTCCCTCCAAGTCCCCACGGGAGAGCTTAAGAGCAGCTGCCCTCTCACACTCTCTCTTACTTGCCTCCTCACTACACCTCTTCGTGTTTCCCTTCATCCTATTGCCCTGGACCTTCCCCTTGGGATCACGCTATTACTTTCTTCTGTAAGCAACATAATTTTCTCATGATTCTGTTGCATACCCCCTGTAATTTCACTCACCTTAGAAATTTTGAAAGAATCAATGCATAATTTGGAAAGTTAATCTTCTAGGCAGATGTCCCAAGCAGTCTTTTTTGTTTGTTTGTTTTTAAAAAATGGCTGGTGTAGCTCAGTGGATCGAGCTTGGGCCTGCGAACCAAAGGATCGTGGTTTGATTCCCAGTCAGGGCACATGCCTGGGTTGCAGGCCAGTTCCCAGCAGGGGATGCATGAGAGGCAACCACACATTAATATTTATCTCCCTCTCTCCTTCCCTTCTCCTCTAAAGATAAATTATAAATTTTTTTAATTAAATATTTTATTGTTCTATTGCAGTTTTCCCAATCTTTCTCCCTTTGCTCTCCTCTACTCAGCCCCCCCACTGCACTTCCACAATGTCCACCCTGTTGTTCATGACTGTGGGTCATTCACCTATGTCCCTTCCCCTACTTTCCACCCTTAATACCCTTCCCCCTCCACTCTTTTTTTTTTTTTTAAGATTTTATTTATTTATCTTTAGAGGGGAAGAGAAGGAGAGAGGGAGAGAAACATCAATGTATGGTTGCCTTTCGTGCGTCCCCTGCTGGGAACTGGCCTGCAGGGAACTGGTCTGCAACCCAGGCATGTGCCCTGACTGGGAATCGAACTGCGATTGTCTGTTTCGCAGGCCCGAGCTCAATCCACTGAGCTACACCAGCCAGGGCCCCCTCTACTCTTGTCATTGTCAGTCTGTTCCTTGTTTCCATGCCTCTGGTTCTATTTTACTCATTAGTTTGTTTTATTCATTAGGTTCCTCGTAAAGGTGAGATCCTGATGTATTTGTCTTTCACCACCTGGCTTATTTCACTTAGTATAATATTCTCCAGTTCCATCCGTGCTGCCAGGAAGGGTAGAAGCTCCTTTCTTTCTGCTGCATAGAATTCCATTGTATAAATGTACCACAGTTTTTTGATCCACTCATTTACTGATGGGCACTTAGGCTGTTCCCAACACTTGGCTATTTGTAAATCATGCTGCTATGAACATAGAGGTGCATCAGTTCTTTGGAATTGGTGTTTCAGGATTCTTAGGGTATAATCCCCACAGTGGAATCACTGAGTCAAAAGGCAGTTCCATTTTTAGTTTTTTGAGGGAATACAGATTGGTGCAGCCACCGTGGAGAAAAGTCCCAAGCAGTTTTGATATCTACCTCTTGGCTCCCCCTGTGCATTCACTGAACCCTGTGGCATCTGGCACAGTCTTCTCCCCTTGATTCCTGCTCTCAGTTCCTTAATGTCCTCATCTAAAATGACCTGCCCCTGCACTCCATTCCAAGTCCTCCAACTTCTATGGCCACACCTGAAGCTGCCCCACCTTCAACATTCCTATTTCATACAGCTATCCTCAAACCAATACCTCCTAACTTTCCAGCTCACTTAGTCTCATCTGCTCCCACTATGACAATTTGCTGGTCTTACCAAGACTCCAATCCATTACCCTTTTACTTTCCCTCTCTCCATGAGCAACACCCCCTTCCCACACCCCACACCGAGTCTTAGATTCAAATTCCATCATTTCAGTCAGTTTCTTGCAAGTAACAACCTGTGCTTTAATTGCATTTGGCAAAATATTGTTTCTGCAAACATCCAACTATCTTTCTCTGTGCCCACCTCAGCTCTGTTGCCTCTGGAGAAAATTACCCAAGTGGAGCAAATTTGCAGCACTTTCAACTTAAGAATTCCAGCCTCAGTTGGGCCCTCAACATTGCCCCAGATTCTCCCATTTCCTTTCCGGCCAACTCATTCTCCCGTTACCATTTTAAGCCCCTTCCCCCCCTTCTACTCAAACTTCAACCCTGCCACCTCCTTTTACGCTTAACATTTGACTCTCCCTATTTTTTCTGTGGAAGT